GGCCTTGCCCCTGGCTGAGCGCCTGTGGACAGGCAGGCGCTTGCTGGCCTTCACGGGAGGTTGTGGTCAGTAAAGGCAGGCGAAGCGATGCTGGGGTTGCTTCTGCAGGATCTTCTGGCTTGTTCGTGAGGAAGTGGTCAGGTCGCAAACCTGGTGGTCGTTGGCCATTTTTGGTGCACCCCTCCTGGTGTTATTCGTATGGGATTTGGCAAAGGCTGGGATTCGGCGTCCCATAAAGAAGTAGGTCCTGAGCGTTTAGGCTGAATTTTGAGAGTTTAATCTGAGGCCACTAAAAGAAGCATAAAGGTTTTATAAATGAAAAAGGACTTGGATTTGATCCCTTATTAACATAAATTGTGAGCCTTCCTCTTTGCTGTCCTATCCTGGGCTTATTCTACTTTTCACTGCAAAGCCACATTTTAATAATATCTGATAATTTTCCTGTTTATTTGTCTGTTACTTGCCCTGTAAACTTCTAATCCTTGCATCAGGCTCTCAGTTTTGCAGTAATTGATCATCAGCTACCAGAGCAGTTTGTTTCTCAGTCTTTGCGTGACAGATGCATTGTGTCACATCTGGGGTCTGTGTGTTCCCTGCAGCTTCACGACGGCTGTAAAGCCCCCAGGTTGGTCACGCAGCTCCACTTCACCAGCTGGCCTGATTTTGGGGTGCCCTTCACACCCATCGGGATGCTGAAATTCCTGAAAAAAGTCAAAACCTTGAATCCTGCCCATGCTGGTCCCATTGTGGTCCACTGTAGGTACGTATGTGCCCTTCGAGTCATTATCTTCTCTTAGTTACATGTAGAATATTGAGGCTACATTTTAATTGTCTGTTCATAGGCTGCAAAGTTTCTTTGTATGTGTGTATATATAAATGAGTGTGTGTGTGTGTACGTATATATATGTGCGTGTGTGTATCTACATATGAGTGTGTGTGTGTACATGTGTATCTATATAAGGTGTGTGTGTATCTGTGTGTGTATCTATATGAGGAGGGTGTGTGTGTATCTGTGTGTGTATCTATATGAGGAGGGTGTGTGTGTATCTGTGTGTGTATCTATATGAGGAGGGTGTGTGTGTATCTGTGTGTGTATCTATATGAGGAGGGTGTGTGTGTATCTGTGTGTGTATCTATATGAGGAGGGTGTGTGTATGTGTGTGTATCTATATGAGGAGTGTGTGTGTATCTGTGTATCTATATGAGGAGGGTGTGTGTATGTGTGTGTATCTATATGAGGAGTGTGTGTGTATCTGTGTATCTATATGAGGAGGGTGTGTGTATGTGTGTGTATCTATATGAGGAGTGTGTGTGTATCAGTGTGTGTATCTATATGAGTGTGTGTGTATGTGTGTGTATCTATATGAGGAGGGTGTGTGTGTATCTGTGTGCATCTATATGAGGAGGGTGTGTGTATCTGTGTGTGTATCTATATGAGGAGTGTGTGTGTATCTGTGTATCTATATGAGGAGGGTGTGTGTATGTGTGTGTATCTATATAAGGAGTGAGTGTGTGTGTGTATCTATATGAGGAGAGTGTGTGTGTGTATATGTGAGTGTATCTGTGTGTGTGTGTGTGTGTGTATTTACTTTCATATATATATATATATTTACTTTCATATTTATATTTATTTGCTTAAAGGGCAATAATACGCTGAGCTTTTTGAGAGCCCAGGGTGAAACCAGTTTCCAAAGATCTGCCTTTGCTTTATGCGTTACTGTATTTATGCTCTTACTCCAATGCTCAAACAGAAGTTGTTGTTTTGGGGTATACCCAGTGTTTGGTACAAACATGTTCTTTGTCGGAAAAACAGACTGGTAATACAAATCTGCGACCTTTGCCACTGAAGGCTCCTCTGAGAATTCAGCCCCCACTTCTCCCACAGTCAAGCTGTGGTTTGCAATGTAAATGATCTCTTAAATGCCTGGCGAGTTTGGAAGAAAGACTTGCATTGAAGAGACTGAAATGCTGCGATCTGAAAAATGTTGGACGTAGCAGTGCAGGAGGGATTCCCACTCAGTCGGTCGCACACGTGAACTTCTGCTACTGCAACCTTGTGCCAGACTGTTTGAAATCTGGTGATGAAAGCACAAACAAACTCCACATCCCTTCTGAAAGAATAACTGCAATCTCTATAGCAACTGCAGGCGCAGGACTGAGCCAGAAGGGTCTGTGCAGGAGCAATTCTCACAGCGAGGGTAAAATAATAAATTAAAAATAAGAATAGCTTTGCCTTTCTGGGCTTTGTTTTTAAGGAAATGGTTGTAGGCTCGTGTAGTTGTTTCTTTTTCTCTTGCTGGTGTCAGACAACTCGAAATACTCTCATAGAGTCCTAAGTGTATACTTTGAAATTGTTGGTCCTGGCCGTGCCAGCTTTTTTGGCTCTGCATTTCCACCCAGGATTCATCTTCTCACTGAGGTGTCACACACAAGAGGCTTAAAGAAAAGCGTTAAACAGAAAAAAGAAGATTTTTAGTTGTCTCACATACTCTTCCCTTTGGAAAACGCACGTTATTTTTATAGCCTTTTGCCATGGGGAAAAAAAGAACCTCATTGGGTTTGAGCTTTATTTTGCACCAGCAGGAAATTCTCTACTTGGGTTCAG